CTTTGTACTCCATCACTTCTATTGGATATTTTATTTTTGTAAAAAAATCTAATAGTCAGGAGCTCTTTTTTGATCTTGATTTCTTCTTCATAGCATCCTGTTCTTGTGTTATCTCCCTGAGGATCTTAGAGTTTGGGGTTATTATTATTATTTTTTTAAATGCTCGTCTCTTGCCTGAATTGTCTCTATTTTCTGTTTCCTTTCTTGGATTGGTTGATTTGGCCTCTTTCTTCCATGTTGGAAGCCTGCTTACTTTTTTTTTTTGAGCTGTTATATGTGCAAATAGGGAGCATCATGGCCACTCATGAAGCAAAGGCCCAGGGAAATTTGTGTCTGGTTTCTTTTATTCATTAGAAGCTTTGCTCAACTGTCCCGGGGTCCTGGCTGTCTGTGCCCTTCCCACGTGTGTGTGCACACACAGGATGTGTGATCATTATAGGATGCTGGGGCGGTGATTCAGTCTTTGCATTGGGCAAGTATCTGGGGGTCTTTTCTCTGACGCCAGTTTCTCCAAAGAATAATGTTCCAGTCAGCTACCTGGAGGATAGACGCCTGGCTCTGGGCATTCTGGGAGCAGTGAAGGTGCATAGGGGGCGGCCGCTATCGAGGGTAGAAGCTCACTTTACCCACCTGCTTTCAGCCCCATACCTCACAGTGTCCTCTGCCCTGCCTGGGGCCCCAAGTCCAGAGCATACCTGGTTCAATTCCTCCAGAGAATAAATATCCAATTCCTTGCAAGGAGCTGATGGAGTAAAGAGAAGTTTCCAGAACAGGGGGAAGAGGCTGGGGTCTGGTTCTTTTTTTCTTTTGGTGATGAAGATTGGCCCCGAGCTAACATCTGTTGCCAATCTTCCTCTTTTTCTGCTTGAGGAAGATTAGCCCTGAACTACCATCTGCGCCAATCTTCCTCCATTCCGTATGTGGGTTGCCACCCCAGCGTGACTGACAAGTCGTGTAGGTCTGCACCCGGGATCTGAACCGGAGGACCCAGGCCGCCAAAGCAGAGCGGGCTGAAGTTAACCACTGTGAGATGAGGCCGGCCGCTGGGGTGATGCCCTGGTTCACCCTCCCATCATTCTGGGGCCTCCCCGTCCTGAGCCTCTCGGGGTAAATGGGGGCTGATCAACTCATGTCTGGCTCGGCTCTCCCTCTGCTCTGCTAATACAGTCAACGCTCCATCAGCTTACATCTGCCAAAGACTTTTCCAATTCTGTGATTTATTGATATCTCCTCCCACATTCATTCCATCCTTATAGGTGATAATCTTTTAGTCCTTTCCTGTCAGTATGGTGGTATTTGGGGAGGAAAACAGATAAATGCGTGTGGTCAATATACCATGTTTAATTAGAAGACTAGTTTCTTTAAAAAATCTAATTCTATTGATTCAATCTTTTTTTTTAAACTTCTTGATGGTAGTTTTTTTTTCTAATTAAATGCTTGTTATTGATCTCTAGTTTTATGGCTTCAAGGCACAGAATGTGGCCCAAACTGTTTCTTTGGGCAACTTTCTGAGGTTTTCCTATCTCAATCTATAGTCAACTGTGGGTAACGTTCCAAGTATATTCGAAGAGGTGTGCTCTCTGTAGGGTAAGAGCTTGATGTATCCCTGCTTATTAAACCTTATTAATTATTAAAATCCTCTGCGTTCTTATTGTCTCCTTGATCTGTAATAAACTAATACTGGTGGTGTGTTAGTCTCAAATGCAATTGTATTTCTGTTGATATTTCCCTTTGCATTTCCAGCAGTTTTTTTTTTTTTTTCTATTTGATACTACTGAATCCACCTATGGAGGTTCACAGCTTTTGTACCATCCTTATAAATGCCTTCTATCTTCAACAAGAAATGATTTCTCTGTCCCATTCATTGCTATTCCCTTGAATTCTACGTCGTCTACATGGCCCCGCCCCGGCAGAGGGATGGCAGTCCCTGAGCTTGGGGCGCAGAGGGGGCCCACGGGTTTGGCAGTGAGGCGGTGGAGGTGGGAGACGCAGCCAGGTTACAGCAGGCTGGGGAAAGAGCGGAGGTGAGGAGGCAGAGGTGGCAAGTCCCTGTAGGCAGCACACTTTCAAGAAGGTTGGCTGAGGGGGAGGGAAGAAAACCCAGCCTGGAGCAGGTGAGAGCAGATGGAGACCCGGCACTCTGAAAGCAGTGGGAAAGAGCAGTGAGGCTGAAGATTTAGGAAGCACTGAGGCAGCAAGGGGCCATGGGGAGGGCCCTGGCCAGGGGCTGCCTCCTCTCCTGGGGCTGCAGGGGTGAGGGCGGGGGAGCCAGGCTGGTGGCGGGCCAGGGAAGGGTCAGTGGGGTAGTAAGATGGCTCTCAGAGCAGGGAGAGCATCTGGCTGGGAGATCTGAGAAGAGGCAGTTTGGCTAAGCGGGTGGAGACTGGGGAGGAAGGCCTGGCTGAGGGTGCAGGCGGGAACCCACAGGGCACGGTCGGAACTGGGGGTGGTTTTGCTTTTCTCCTGCAGCGCTCAGCGGCCCAGAGAGCACGGGCCTTTGGGCAGACTCAGGGCTGATGTGGTCCAAGAATATTGTCAGGAGAGGGGCCCAGGACGGAGACCACAGGGTCTAGGCTGGTGGGGAAGACAGCGAAGGCACAGTGGGCCTGGGGACCATCTGGAGTGTGGATGTAGGAGACAATGGAAGGCCTGACAGGGGCAAAAGCCTGGCAGCTGCAATTATAGAAAACAGATGATGCTTTTCTAGGAGGTGGGAGGTGACGATAGCCAACGGTGTGGCCCCAGGAGTGGCTGGTGAAGTGGAGGGAGGGTTCCTCACAGGAGACTAGAGGTTGAGAGCCTGACAGGCCAGGGTGCTGGGCAGGTGGCTGCAGTCGGCCAGGCTGACAGTGGGAGGTGGGGTGGAGGGGCGTGGTCAGAGGAGCACTGGGGCAGGCAGGGCGGGGTAGGGCGGGGAATTAAGATTTCCAAGTGGCTGAGGCCCTGGGGAGCGCGGGTTTGGGGAGCAGGATGCAGCCCCAGCTCCCTCCACAGAACCAAATTTGGAGCTATCCCAGGGCTTAGCCCAGGAGCCCTGGGGAGTCAGGCTGGAGCAGGGGCAGGCTGGCGAGGGTGGACGGTGGCATGCAGTTCCCTTGCACCCCACCCCCTCTGCCCCGGAGCCAGCCCTCCCACTGGCTTCAAGGACCAGCACAGGAGCAGCCCTGGGGCTTCTCTCTGGGGATGCTGGGCCGTGGGCTCAAAACCCTGACAGAAGCCAGAGGCATCTGTACAGGTGACAGACCTGGATCTCCACCTGGTGATTTGACCTGATGCATCCCTGCCCCCACAGAACCTCGGCCCCCCTGTCTGTGTCATTTCTGAGGGGATGGGCCCGGGCCTGGACTTGCCCCCTCTGAGCCAGTCTCCCATGTGTGAAAAGAGGATGCACTGACCCTTCGGGGTTACTGTGCGGTGTCAAGGACCTGCTGAGTAGAACCCAGGGCTGCAAGGTTCCCTGTGCAGGGGTGCAGCAGAAGGGGCTTGGGGGTTGGCTTGTTCCCAACGAAGGCCCTGGGCTCAGCATGGCAGGTGGGTCCAGCTCAGGAGAGCCCGAGTTGGGGCCTTCCAGGCATCAGAAGCTTGGTTTAGTCCAGCTCAGCCATGACCTGCTGGTGACCCCAGACCAACCTCTTTCCCTCCCTTGGTCTCCCCTACTCCCCACCAGACTTCAGTGGCTAGGAAAGCATGTGACGCAGAGCCCCGCAGGAGGGCAGGAGCAGAGCCCGGCAGGAGCAGGCAGGCGTCTGCTGCAGGGCCAGTGCAGGGGCCGCATGGTCCCCGGGGAGGCTGTGGGACCAGCAAAGACCTCCCATCCAAGCGTGTCAGAGCCAGGGGGAGCTGGGAGGAAGAGGAGGGGACAGTCCCAGATCACTCAGTGTGCCGAGACCACTACCACCAGCTTTAGGGGTCTCCCCTGCCCACAACTGCCACCAGCGTGAACCACACGCTGGGGTCCCTTGGTAAAGGACAATATTGGCCCAGGACTCAAGAGCGACCCCTGGAAAATCTCCCGAGACAGAGCTGAACGGAGAGGCGAGTCAGGCTTAAAATAGCTAAATAAATCTTTAATATTTCTAATTGCAAATGTACAGAAATTGCACAGCCACACAGTCTTAGAACACCAACAACTTTCTCTGTACATTATTACATAGTTAAAAGTCCCGGCCGGAGGGAGGAGCTGCGGCCAGGACTCCAACGTTTGCATTTCTCCTTTGCACATCCTTACAAAAGGGGTGCGGGCCGGTGCGGGGGCTGCGCGGCTTTGGGCCGAGCGTGTAGAAAAGAGGAGCTGTTGCCCTGGACAGTCTGCCTTCCGCAAACGGACGGGGTGGGAGGAGAGAGGTGTACCCCGGGGCAGACGCTCTGTAGGGAGGGGGCACTGGAGCTCTGCCCGCGGTTCCCCACCCCCCTTCTGGGCAGTTGGAAAGAGAGTCTTCACTTATAGGAAGTTTGGCAGTTTCCTTCACCCTGAACATAAAAGTTAAGCAAAAAAGTCAGGCCTCTCTGCGTTGGCAGGGGAGGGAGAGAGCTCTCTCCAGCGGAGTCTGGGCCCGGTGACCGGGAGCCCGGGGGCCTTGGGCTCCCCCCCACTCCCCCTCCCTCTGGGCCCGCGGCAGGCTGGACGTGGGGTCTCTGTGGCCCCAGCAGGAGCCCCCCTTTGCTGGCCCAGTCAGGGCACGTGTCCCCATCACCCCCACCCAGACAGCACACTGCAAAGCCAACAAATAAACGCGGTGGGCAGGGAAAAACCCCAACACCCAAATCCCACACCTCTTCCTCCTGCCCAAGACTGTTCTCTAGATTAAAAAATAAAATAAAAACCATCGGAGAGCAGCGGTCCCGGGCAGCCCTCGGCAGCACCAGGACTAAAGGATTATGTACATCCATTAGGTGAAATAGTTACATTACAGTCAAACACCAAGAACATTTACAAAAATCGTCAGACTTGCAAGTCAGATAAAAATCTGTGAAGAGTCTGTACACTTTTACAGTTTTTGCACTAGGTAAATAAGGCTCTCGGCCTGAGAGCTCACAACCTGCGCCAAGGGCCGCCGGCGCTGGCCACCGCGCTGGCCTCCTGGCCTGTGTCCGGGCCCTGGGAACCTCCCCCTGTATTGCTAAGAGGCGCTCAGTCCGAGGTCGCTCTACGAGGCATCGGTGGGAGGGGGTAGGGTGGGGAAGAGGGGAGGGCTCACTGGGCAGTGGGGGGATGAGACCGAACTAGAGGACATCACTGGGGCCAGGCCTTGCCTGTGTGGCCAGGAGCAGGGAAAGGGCCTCAGCCCCCACAGCCTTCCTTCCTGAGGTCTGTGACCCCTGGTGGCCCCACTCTCTCCACCAGCATGTCTCTGGCCTAAATAAACTGCAGGTTTCAGCTAAGAGCCCCCTCCCAGAGCACAGGCCCTGGACAGGCGCAGTGGGGTCTGGGCCACACCCCCACACCTCTCCTGGTGGGTTCTGGGGCGAGCCCGGCCCTGGCGGCGTGTCTCCAGCCCCAGGGGCAGAGGGGCTCAGAGCTCTTTCCAAGGGTCTCCTCAGCTGCCTGAGGCAGAGGCAGAGGCAGAGGCAGGGGGCGGCTCCTGACCCACCTAGCCCAGCTCCATCACGGGGCAAACACCCAGCTCTTGCCTGAGATCACCCAAGGCCGGGGCCGGGAACAGGGAGGGACGAGAGACCCAAGCTCATGCCCACCTGTGTCCCGCGAGGGGGCGCGGGGAAGGCTGACAAGCTACAGAACAGCCTAGAGCTGAGGAAAACCAGCCCCAGCTGTGGGTGTGCCCCTCCCCTGTGTGCAGCGCCTGGTCCTTGGCTGGGGGCCCGGGAAGGGTGAGGAGGCCGCCACACACACGGGGCCTGGTGCAGGCCGCTGCTGTCTTGGAGAGGGAGCAAGTCTAACATCCTCCAGGGCCGCTATTTCCCATGCAGTGCGCACGCTCAATTTAAAAGGCCCCTGTGTTCCAGCAAGCGAGCAAGCGGGCTTTTGTTTCTAATGCATACTGTGAAAGGAAAAAAAATCACAGTTATCCACCTTCTCAGGGCCTGCGGGCGTTAGAATTTTTTTAACCATCAATCAGGAAAGATCAGCCCTTCTCTCAGGGTGAGCACCAGCTGGCCGCTCCCCGCGGGGCCTCCGTGCCCTGGCACGCTAGCCCCAGGAGGGGGGCACCACGCACAGCGCCATCTGGGCCTACTCTGCCCAGATCTCTGGCTTCTGGGAGCCCCGGAGCATCAGCTTGGGCCTGTGTGGCATGTGAGGGAGGCTCTGGATCCTCCCTGCCAGGTACAAGGGCCCAGAAGAAAGAGCCGTGAGCCTCACTGGGTCCATTTTGGCACAAGTAAGAAAGGAGGAGGGGGTAAGGCAGGGACTTTGGGGACAGGTACGGGGGGGTGCATCCTCGGTCCCTCACCGCCAGGAGGGGTCCCTGGCAGGCTGCACGTGGTGGCAGATGCACAGGGTAGAGACAGGCAGGGGACATGGAACTCGGGCAGCTCCCTCCTCCCTACCCTCCCCCTGCCTGCCGACAGACCTGGCGGCTCCTGGAACTGAGGGGCAGGTCCCACAGGGCAGAGCCTGGCTGCCAGGGAGTCCTGGGCCCCTGAGGAGGCCAGGAGCAGGCCTCCAGCTCTTTAATCCCCCACCTCTCCGGGCAGCGCCCTCCCTGGGGAGGGTGTGGGGTACATGCACCTGCCCAGCTCAAGAAGGAAAGGTGACACACACCAAATTCAATAACCAACAGAGACACATCTTGGCAGGCCCCCTGCTCCCACCAGGCTGTCCCCACTCCCCAGCGTGCAGTCTCCTTGGCCTGCACCAAACACGCCTCTCGGGCCGGAAGAGAGGGGGAGCGTGCTCACGCTGCATCAGTCTCTCGCGGCTCCCTCTGTGGCCGCCTCCTGGACCGCGAGTGGAGAGGAGGGGGAGGCTCGCCTGGGCCTCTTGCCCCCCTGCGCTGGGGCTGCGACTGTGGGGGCGCTCCTCCCCAGGCCGAGACCCTGCCCTGGGCCACCACGGTCCTCCCTCTCCTCGGGCAGGTTAACAATTGCTGCTGTTTCTGAACTCGCCGTTCTCAGTAATCTGCAATTTGGTGGGGTTGGTGGGGGAGATGCCGTTACGGGCTTGCATGCTGTACCTCTCTTTCAGCTGCGTCAGCGCGCTCATGAGGCGGGCGTTGGCGGCGTCCAGTGAGGCGATGCGCTTCTCCTGTGGACCAAGAAGGCATCAGTTGGGGTCATGGGCTGGGCTCCTGGGCCATAGGGGGACCATGCAGGGGAAGGGGCCTCCCTGGGACTGTGCGCACCTACAAGGAGGAGAGGGCAGGGAGGTGGCCTGCAGGCGACGCAGGGGGACCAGGAGCACACCACGTGCGAAGGGTGGGAGAGTCAATGAGGCTGTGGAGCGGCGGGCATGCTGGGGAGGAGGTGGCCTCGCCATCAGGCACCAAGACCCCCTGAGGCTGCCTTCCTAATGTCTCTACCACATGGCCTGCTTCTCGTCCCGAACAGAGCAGCCTAGTGGCGTCACCTATCAGCCATGTGAGGCCCTGAGGGCAGGTGCCCTTGCTCATGTGCGTGTGTGGCACACAGAGGTCACAGCTCCTGTCAGTCTGTGCAGTTTACAGTCTGAGCAAGGCCTGGCCCCACTGCTGTGCAGGTGAGAGGAAAAGGGCACAGCCCCAGGTGAAGGAGACTGGAGGCTGGAGTCTCTCACGCCTCCCCTCTCAATGCAGTTGGGAAACCACAGCTCTGAACAAGAGCCACCCCACTCCCTCTGCCCAGCCTGTTGTCACTCCCAGCCTTCCCCATTCCCCTCCCAGTAGCTTCCACTCTTTGGTCAGTACTCCTGGCGAAAGGCAATACCCACCAAGTTGCCACAGCAGGGGAGGAGTTGTCCCACCCCTTTCACAGCCTGTGAAAGCCTGTGAGCTTGTGGGCCACTGAGACCCTCAAGTCTGACTTCTCAGAGCAGAGATCCTGGTCTCCTATTCCTCCTTAGCAGTGGGGTATGATGGAGGAGGTGGAGAAGCCAAAGTCACCCCCACCTTATCCTAGGTCCTTTAACATCTGTGGCTGAGCAAAGGGCCAGAGCCCCCACCTGGGCATCGATGATCTTCTGTTTGGAGTCGACAGCTGCTTGCATCTCTGCGTGGTCCTTCTTCAGCTCCTCCTCCACTGACATCAACCTGTGACCAGAGACAAGGACAGTCAGGCTGGCACTGCAGGGAGAAGGGGAGGGGGTGGGTGTGGGGCCCTGTGGGAACAGGCCATCACACCTGCACAGAGGCCATGAGGAGAGCCCCTCAGCGGGCCACAGACTCACCTCCCACACTCGCTTGGGACAGGGCCCTCCAGCTGGCCCCTAACTGATACGGGCTGGGCCTCCTCCTTCCTTGCACTTCACCAGCCCGATTCTCTTCCCAAATCCCTCGATGCCCCATGGCTGCCCCTTTCCTGATGTTCTTCCAGGAGCCAAGTGTGTGGCAGTGGGTGTTGGATCCTCACCACGCCCCAGAGCCAGGCAGGTGGTGTAACGTCATAGGACTCGTGGTGCGGGTGGGAAGACTAAGGGCCTGAAGGGCTCTAGAACTTTCTCCACCCACTCTGCGTTCACCAAGGCTGTGCTGGGCACTTGAAGTAGCGAGATGAATGAGTGTCGTCCTCCCCCTCAAGGAGTTCACAAGGCAGCAGGGACATAGACAGGCAGTAGCTACGCCCTGCACGGGAAGCTCAGGGGCCAGGGGAACAGAGAGCAGGAAGCAGCTGACTATCCTGGAGGGGGAGGTGGTGGTGCATCCCCTGAACTGGACATCGAAGGACAAGCAAGGTCTGCAGCGGGATAACGAGCAGAGAAGATGGGAGGAACACTGTCTGCAGAAGCTCAGAGCTGAGGCAGGTGTGAGTCTGCAATGGCTGCTCCTTCCCTAAGACCCTTCCTGGACACATCTTACTTGTCTCTCACACACCTGTCAATCACTGTTGATCGCTCCCACCTTCCAACTTTCTTCCTTTAGCTTCCAGACCCCACACTGCCTGGGTTTGCCTCTGCTCTGCAGGCCACTGCTCTGCAGACACCTGAGCCCCTAGGACATCAGGGCTCCATAGGGCTCTGCCTCAGCCCTCCATTCTTCTTGCTCTACATACTCTTCTCAGATGAGCTCATCTACTCCCAAGGCTTCATTTCAGTCTCTACCTGCACAGCCTCTCCAGCCCAGCAGAGCAGTGCCCTAACCCCTGGGTGAGCACTTAGCCTGTTGCACAGAAGATGCACAGGGAGGCCAATGATGGCTGCTGTGAGAAGTCAATGGGTCAGGGGTCGGGGAGCAGTGGTCAGGAGGAAGGGGTGTGGGGCCACACCAAGGGGGGTTCCTTGTCACAGGAAGGGAAGCCACTGAGCAAAGCCTGTAAGAAGAGGGGGCAGAGAATGGGGAAGAGGGCCCTCAGACGGTATCAACCAGAAGGGAAATTACTTCGGCAGGGAGAGACTGCTTCCAGCTATGGTGGGATAGCAGGGACTGGATTTATCCTCCTGCCATCAAAAAAAAACCCCAGACTAGAAAACCAGACAAAACACATGAAACAAAGTTTTCCAGGGAACAACAGGCAGTGCACCGTAGTGACTCCCAAGAGAAGGGAACACGCGAGGGGAGCCCCGCTCACTGTGCTGGAGTGTCCAGGCCAAACAAAAGGAGGGAAGTGATGTCATGGAGTTGAGGAGACCCAGAGAAGGCAGAGAGGCAAGGCGGCTAGGACTCTTGAGGCAGTGCCAGAGAGGAGAAAGGTACAGAGAGAACTCCACATATCTCCTGAGGGGTCCTCTTGGGTCTTTAGCCAAGGACTGGTCTGCCTGCCTGTGAGAAATGAGCCAGGCTGGGCAAGCACCAATGGAGAGGAGTACACAAGACAACCCCGGGAATAAACAGTTCACGTTCCTTCCAGGCAGAGTGCAAAGATGCGCTAACAGGGGCATCAAGTAGAATCCCCAGAAGGAAACTGCCTCACAGCAGAGCCAGATCAGGCCCAGACCAAAGGCTGTCCAGGACTCCAACAAAGCAGAGAAGTAAGCCTCAAAAGAATCAGACTGACCCCCAGTAACCTCATTGTGTCCGAGAACAAAGCTCCAAAATATTCAAAGGAACACAAAACATCTAGCACCTACGTAAAATTGACAATGTCTGGCATCCCACCAAAAAGTACCTAGCATGCAGAGAAGTAGGAACATAACCCATAACCAGGAAGAAAGTTAATCAACAAAAAGAGACTCAGAAATGTCACAGATGATAGAATTAGCAGACAAGGACAGTAAAACAAATATTATAAATATATTCCACATGTTCAAGAAAACAGAGGAAAGCATGAGAAGAGAAATGGACAGAATTTAAACCAAACCGAAAGTCTAGAGGTGAAAAATATAATACCTGAAATGAAAAAAACACTAGACAGGGTTAATAGCAGATTAGACACTGAAGAAGTGATTAGTGAACTCGAAGACATAGTAACAAAAATTATCTAGGATAAAACACAAGAAAAAAAATGAAAAAGGAAACAAGAGAGCATCAGCGGGATGTGCACAATAGAAAGCAGCCTAAGGTACATGCACTGGGAGTCCCAGGAAACAGACTGGGCAGGCAGGACTACATAGATCCCAGAGCTCAGCAAACCCAAGAAACATGAAGAAAACCACACCAAGGCACATCATAATCAAATTGCTGGCAATCAGTGATAAAAATATAAATCTTAAAAACAGCGAGAGAAAAAAGGTGCATTAAGCACAGAGGACAAAGATAATGACAGAGCCCCCACATTACACCAGGGTGAGGGCCGAATCGGTGTGGCTACTTTCCACACCACACAAACAGTTTTGCTGTAACAGCAGGGTTGAATAGCTGCAACAGAAACCATATGGCCTGCAAAGCATAAAATATTTATTATCTGCCCCTTTACAGAAAGTCCCCAACCTCTGCCCTAAAGCCACACAAAGATATAGGCTAATATGACAAAAAAGAAGATAAAATGGGGGCCGGGCCGGTGGCGCAGGCGGTTGGGTGCGCGCGCTCCGCTGCGGCGGCCCAGGGTTCGCTGGTTCGGATCCCGGGCGCGCACCGGCGCACTGCTTGGCAGGCCATGCTGTGGCGGCGTCCCATATAAAGTGGAGGAAGATGGGCACAGATGTTAGCCCAGGGCCGTCTTTGGTGGATGTTAGCGCAGGGCTGATCTCCTCACAAAAAAAAAAAAAAAAGATAAAATGGAATCATAAAAAACGCTCAACCCAAAAGAGGGCAGGAAAAAAGAGAACAGATGGTATAAACAGAAAACAAGTAACAAGATAATGGGTTTAAGCATAATTATGTTGACAACTACATTACATGTAAATGTTCTAAACACTTCAACAAAAAGGCAGAAGCTGTTGGATTAGATAAAAAGAACCAATAATAATGTGTCTGTAAAAGAAACTCATTTTATATAGAGACATAGATGGGTTAAAAGTATAAGGATGGAAAAGGATATACCTGGCTAACACTAATCAAAATAAAGTTGGGGCAGCTGTATTAATATCAAACAAAATAGATTTCAGAGCAAGGAATATTACGAGGGCTAAAGAAGGTGATTTTATAATGATAAAGAGGTCAGTTCACCAACAGTACATAGCAGTCCTAAATGTGTGTGCATCTGAGAATAGTGTTTCAGTGTAAAGTAAAAACCAACAGAAATGAAAGGGGAAATAGACAAATCCATAATTATGATTAGAAACTTCAATATCCTTTTCTCAATAAGTGATAGAACAACAGTAAACAAAAAAACTAGTAAGGATATAGAAGACTTGAACAACACTCTCAACCAAATTGACTTGACATTTACCTTAGGGAGCAAATATACCAGGATTGGTTAGTAGAAATAAATATTGTTAAGTAAGCCGCTAAACTCAAGAGAGCATGCACCTCTCAGAGAACAGACACAATGAGGAGGAGGTGGTTAGGTTGAAAAGTGTTTCCATTCTTGGAACCACACACGCGAGATGAGCCAAGATCAGAGCTGGCAATCAAGTGAACAGTGGGTTTCTAGTCACCCTGGTTACAGGCCCTTTGCTCATGCTAACCATTTTACAATGAACAAACCCACAGGTAAATGCAGAAAACAATAATTAGGAGCAGAGAAACAAGTGGTCTAAATAGGAGGCAATTTGGGAAGGGTTTTTGCAGGGAATAAAGCATGAGGCCAGGTGGGGGAATGTCCGGGCTCCTGCACACCTGCTCATTTATCCAGATGATGAGCTCTTGTACCATGCAAACAAGCTGTAAATCCACTGTCTCCTCTTGTACCTGGTATGACTGTTGTAAGGAAGTCACCTCCAGGATTGGGACCCTGGGGTTGGCCTGGATGCTACACCTTGAACAAACTCCCTGCCTGCAGATACTGAGGAGGGTGTGCCCACCCTACCCATGTGTGGGGAGGGTGGGGGGAGGGAATCAACACAGGATACGATATAAGCCATCAATAAAGATGACAGTCAGCATTAAAGCCAACGGTCCCCCCCACCCCCCCGCCCCAGGAAATCTTTCCCTGATAATCCACAGGCCCCTTAAAACTCAACATACCCCAAAGTGGCATCATCATGCCTCTCCCTCCCCACCCAAACTGCTCCTCTTCCAAAGTTCCCCATCTCAGTAATGATACCTTGAGGCACTCAGATGCTCTTGGTAGAAATTTGGGGGTTATTCTGCCTCCTTCCTCCCTCTCACCTCTCACTTTCACCCACGGAATGTAACTGACCATCATTTCTACGTTTCCTGCCCTGAATCAGGTCCTGTCTTTCCTGGCACCCGCAATCCAGCTTCTACACTCCCCTGAGAGTGCTTACCAAGAAAAGGAGACTCCCTACGAGGCACAGCCCCACTGTGAGCTGGCCCTGGCTGATCTCACTTCTGCCACGCCCAACTTTGCCCTCTACCATCAACACACACTGCACCATGTGGGGCGCCCCACGCTCCATGCCACCTCCTACCTCTAGGCCTGTGCCACGTTGTCCCCACTGCCTGGGACGCTCTCTTCCCTCCTCTCTCCACACTGGGCTCCTCCTGCAGCCAATCAGCCCCTCCCTCAGTCAGGAGGGCAGTGGACTGGTCTGTCCCCTCTGTGCACATGGGGCCGGGACTGGGCCCAGAGCAGGCCGCCTCACCTGCTGATGATGCCCTTCATCTGGATGTCCTTGTCCTCCTGCTGCCGCCGCAGCCGCTCCTCACCCTCCTCCAGCCGCGCCTGGTACTCCAGCACCAGCTTCTGCGTCGTCTCCTCCTGGCACTTGAACAGCGTCTCATACTCCTCCAGCTTCTTGGTGGAGATTCGCAACTTGTCCTGCAGCACTGCCAGGTCCTGCCAGGAGGGCAGCGTGCCACGGGCACAGCACCCAGGACAGAGAGCACAGCCTCATGAGCCCGAGCAGGAGTGCAGGGTGGGAGGGAGCCAAGTTCTGAACGCCCCAGGGGCCAGCACCATCCCAGCCGACCTCACAAGCGAGGAGACGCCCGAAGAGCCCAGACAGAGGGGGCTGAGGTGAGACTCAAAGCCTGGCCCCCATCCGGGGCTCTCTCCATTCCAACCTCCCACCCCCTAGCCTGACCTTACAGCTATAACAGGGGCATGAAGACTCTAACCCAGATCTCCAAAGGGCTTAACTAGGGCTTTGAGCTTTCCATAATAAACATAAGTTAACAACACCCTTGGATATATTAAGGAGATCTGACAGTGCCCTGAGAGGTGGAGGCTCTACAAAAGGGGAAACTGAGGCCCAGAAGGTGAGATGACCCAGTCACAGGGAGAGGGACTGACCAGTGGGGTAAGATCCCAGCCTCCCAGGCCCTACTTGACCCTAAAGCCAGGGCGGTGGCACAGGGAAGTGGGGGAGACAGAGAGGTTAAAGGCAAGATGGTCCCGAGCTTTCAGGACCTGACTCAGCCCAGCCCGCTTAGCCTTTGGGGAGAGAAGGGATGTGCGAAGCAGCAAGTAGTGAGCTGGGAAGCTGTGAGGGCTGGACAGAGGCGCGAGGCAGGCCGACACAGCAACCAAGGGGCTGGGGGCCAGGGGCCAGGGTGGGTGAGAACACAGGGACTGGGGGAGGCAGGAAGAGCCTCTCCTTGAGTCTCGGGCAATGGGAGCCCAATTCCCTCCTCAGCAAAAGACTGCCCAAAGGTCAGGAGGCAGCGAGCCCAGTAACTGGTGAGGACCCAGCCCCACCCCAAATCTAACCGCCTGAGGCAAAGCTGGACCCACAGGAGAGCCCAGCTCTAGGAGAAATGGCCCTGGGCCCATCCCAGCCTTCCCCAGCTGCCTAGAGAGGGCCAGGGGGGGCCCTCCCTGACACAGGCAGGACCAGGTCTCCAGGGAGCTCCGGGAACAAGGGCCTCCTGGATTTGCCCGTGAGGGTTGTTGGTAGCAAAGAGGGCGAGAGAAGCAGCCGCTCACTCAGCCAAGGTACAGTAAGGAAAGGGAACACTCCAGCTGCAGCCTGACCCCTGCAATTGTTTGGGTAATCCTTGCAATTCACAGAGGCAATCTGAGGCTCAGAGAGGTGCAAAGCCTGGCTCTCCTTGCTCCCCAGCCAAACTCTGGCTCCTGGAGGACGGTGCCCCATGTCCCCTGGTCCCCTTCACATAATTATGGTGAAAGCAGGTGGATGCAGTGGACCAAGGGGATGGTGGAGAGTGGCGGAATGCAGCATGGGCATGGACATCACTCTAGGCCAGGGAGAGGGAGCGCTGCCACCCTGACCCCCGTGCCCTTGCTGGAGAGGCTGCTACAGGCTTTCCTGGCACCAAGTGGGGCAACACTCTGGCGAGTGGCAGAAGTGGCTGCTGTTCTGGGGACCTTGCACTGGTTCTTGTGTCTACCTGGGCTCTAGCCTCCACAAGGAGACAAGAACCAGCCTCAGATCCAGGGCAGCTGCCACAATAACTGGGATAATTCTGGAGGATAGAAGGACCCCACTGCCCCCCCAAATGCTAGATGTGGGTGGTGGGCTGGAATTTGGATATTTTAGTATATCCCATGTTTTTCCCCCTGGGGTAGAAAACATCTCAGTAGCAATCTGACCCCAGCCCTCATGTTGGCTCTTTCTCTCCCAGGCTCTGGTGGAGACTGGGGATGGGACAGAGCCAGGCCTTGGGAGCACAAACGCAAAGTAGAGGGGGGCCTGGCTGGGGAAGGCTCTCCCAGCTGTCTCAGGGACCCATTGCCTCTCTGCCTCCTCACACATGAGGCTCCCCCAGGTCTCCATGCACCCCTTTGGCACCCCCGGCCCTCACTACCTAGTCCCTTGGGGAAGGGGCCTCCCAGACGTCTGATGACCAGGTCCCAGGAGTCTGGATTCAGTATAATTCCCAGCTGAGTCTCACGCGCAGCCCGCAGAGGAAACCTCAAGTCTAAGCTAAACCCCTTTTGCTGCTCTTCTTCCGGGTTCCACTGACTCTGTCCTCACACGGGACCAGAGGTTGAGAGGGGACTGGCCACTGGCAGGAACAAGCCGCGCCCCTCATCCAGGGATCTCGGGGAGAAAATCCTGCCAGCTGTCGCCAGGAGGCAGCCCCGCCCTGCCCGGAATGGCCAGGGTCCAGCTTTACCTTTTCTGCTTGGCTGAGCTCCTCCTTACTCCTTAGCCTATCCCTGTGGGGGGGGTCTGGGCCCAAGCCCTCGTCTTCTAACAATTGCGCGTTCATGGTCAAGAGCCAAGCAGCCGTGCGGTCCAGGGCATTGGGGCTCACGGGTGAAGGGCCCTATAATGAAACACAGCTGTGAGGGGCTGGAGGGAGGCGGATGGGAGGCGGGGGGCGGGGAGTGGCACATGATGAGCCACAGGGAGAAGTGTCTCAGAGGCGCGGCGGGAAGGGAGGGGACCTTCAGCTGACTGGGCACCTACTCATGCAGCCCTGACCCAGGGAACCCCGTCTCTCAGACAGCAGCCTGAGGCAGAGCCAAGGGCCTGGGGGGGCTCCTGAGTGCTCCTCTCTGCCACCCAGGTGAGCATGGGCGAGCTCGGCCCCCAGCAGGCGGGGCATCCACCCCAAGCACATCTGTTCCACGTGCTGTGTGCAGTCCCTGGTGACAGGGACGCCCATGCACCCCGGCAGCTAAGCCCTGAAGGCCAGGTCGACTCCTACCCTGGGTAGGGCTTTCACAGACTTGGAACTGGAGATGGGTGGACCCCTCCCTCTCCCTCCCTGACCGCAGCTGTTCCTGGGGGAACTGGCAGAGGGACCCTAAGGCTGCAGTGTCCCTGGTTCAGAGGATTCTGGCAGGGGCCAGTGGGGCCCCAGGGCAGAGAAGGGGTGGTGCGTGTGGCAGGCTAGTGGGATGGGGCCAAATGTGGCCTCGTTCAGCATGGGATGGAGCTGGGTACAGGTGATGACCGGGGAGGCGCAGCATGACATGGGGTATGATGGCCCACCAGGCCCGAGAACCCCGTGCACCCTCTGACCAGCTGCACTGACCTGCTTGTGCACGGCACGAGGCTTCAGCTCGGGGCTGTCGCCCTTGGAGGACGACGACTGTTGCCGCAGCCGGGCTCCGGCGCCAGCCCAGTCAGGCGAGGCCGACGCCAGGGTTCCGCTGGAGGGCCGTGGGTACTGCAGGGTGCTCAGCAGGGTGGGCGGCGTCCGGCCACGAGGGGCAGGAGGTGGTGGCGGTGGTGGGGGTGGCGGTTGGTCGATCCTCCGCTGGGGACCGGCACTGTTCTGCCGCGGCACCGTGGGCTGCCCGCCCTTTTCAGTCAGCGACATCTGCCGCCGTGCCAGCTCCCCAGGCCGCCGCCCAAGCTCCTCGGCAGCACTGCTGAAACTTCCCAGCTTGGCAGCAGCCGCCAGCTCCTCACTGTTGCTGTGGGAGCTCAGGGAGCTGTGGCCCTCAGAGCCTGAGTCGCCAAGGCCGCGGGGCGACAGCGGCAGGCCAGCCGCCATCTGGTACACGGGGTTCTGGAAGGAGAGCGGTGCCAACAGCTGGGGCCGGCCTGGTGCGCCCTCAGAGGTGCCTGGCGTGGTCGGTGTCTGGCCTGCCCGCCGCACGGTGGCCAGCCCTGCCAGGCTCACTGGGGCTGCCCGGGCCGGCCACCCGGCCACCAGCTGAGTTGCAGGTGTCTGCCCGTCGGTGGTGAGGGCATCAGGGCCCGCCGGGGAGCCCGCCTCCCCGTCCAGCGTGCGGGCATCTTGGAGGTCCACCATGGATAGGCTCTTGCCACCGTTGGCCATCTGAAGATCAGGCTCGTTGGCTTCCGAATAACTCGAGCTGCGGGCAGGTGAGGGCTGGACCCCGGAGGACCTTGTGACAAAAAACAAGTCCTTGTTTTCGGGGGTTGGAGACGGTAACCGGGTGAAATCTATCAGACTGCAGGGAAACAAGCACACACAGGGAAAGAAGGGGGAAGAGAAGAACTGTGAATGCAGCCAAGGCGGGTCCAAACCGAGAGCCCCGCCAACCTGCCGGGACCGGCGGCCTGAGCCAGGGCTGGGGGAAGAGAGGGAAGGCAGGGGAGGGGAGGGAGGGAAAGGGAGGTGCTGGGGCAGCAACAGTGGGAGAGTCCTGGGGACCAGCAGCCCAGCTGCAGAACCAAACCACAGCCCAGGCAGCTGACCCGGGCAGAAGCCCCCACGAGGGCTGAGTGGCTGAGATGGCTGCTCCTGCACAGAACCTCTGCTCTAGGGGCCAGCGCTGCTCGTTCCAGACCAGGATGCCTGGCAGGCCCTTTCCCTGCTCAGCTGCATCTTGAGATGACGAGTGCTAGGGCCTGGAGTGTTCTGGAAAATTCCCCCTTAGCTAAACCCAAACCCACAACGCAGTGCTCTCTGCTATCCAAGGGTCCTGCACTGAGAACTCCGACTTCAGAGCCACGGGGGCTCTCTCTACCTCTTCCCTCTTGTTCCCAATCAGACTAATAACCAAAGTGGGAGCCTGGTGAAGCCTCCCTCCGCAGCCTCCTGCTGCCACCCCTCGTCTGACTGGCAGGCGGGGGCTGGTGTTCCTGGCAAAAACAAGGAATCAGAGGAGGATCCTCAAGGTGTGACTCAGGCAGGGAGGGTCTGCACCTGCAGGGGCAAGCTGTACTCTTCCCTGGTCTTCCAGCCTCTCCCTGGCCCCTCTCTAGAAGCCGGCTCCTTGGAAGGAAGAAGGCACAACGTGGTGGGGCCAGGTGGGCTTTGGAGAGAAGGATGTGGGCGGTGAACAGGGCTCTGAGTAGGCTGGAGGCAGCAAGGACTTGGGGATTTGACACGGGCTTGTAATGGGCAGCTGGAGATGGCTGAGCCCGGGATGGAGAGGAAGCGCCAAGCCCAACTGATGGGACTGAGGTAGGGCAGGCTCTGGCCACTCAGGGCCAAGCACTTGTGGGCTGGGAAGAAGTGGACAAGGGCAGCAGACAGAGCCAGGAGAAACCCAGACCAGCCATGGGCCTTGGCTGTCCCACTGCACACCCAGGTCATCACCTCAGAACCCATGTGCCTGGCCACCTCTCAGCCAAGGTGCTGGCAGGTTGTATGAACAGACGTCCAAGACTCGGGGACCCAGCAAGTGGCATCATGGTCTCTATCTCCAGCCTCTTCCTGGACCTCCAGTCCTATGCACCACATCTGCCTAGATTCTTGATCTCAACGCTCTCGCCCACTGAAAAACCTACACTGCCACCACCTCAGAATGAGACCAGACTCCCAACTCTGTTGCCCCAGCCTCATCCTCACTAGCAGGTCCAAGACAGCCTAGCTGGGGGAGGGGAGCCTTTGAGCAGGGCATAAATGGTTCAATATATATGCCAAGTATCTTAAAGGAATGTCCTCCTTTTGACATCAACATTCGAGAACATCTTGCCTCTCCCTCCACTGTGTGTGTTTTATTTACAGGGCACTTGCCCCATGGCTGAGGGCTCAGAGTGATGGCTGGGCCTCAGCAACTCTCTAGTTTTCTGGGGCTCCCAGCCTCAGAGCCTTGCAGAGTCACCTAAGCTCCTGCTGAAAACACACAGCCCTGAGCGCCACTCCTGGAGATTCTGATTCAGGCCTAGGAAAGACCAGGACAGGTATTTTTCACACACACACGTAGGCCATCTGGAGGTATCTGGGAAGAGTAATTGCTCTTCAACAGAACATGGTGTCTTTCTCTAGGGCTTTGTGCTAGTCCCTCCACCTGGAATGCCTTTTCCACAATGGAAATGTTACTTTTCCTAAAAAGCTCAACACTACAGCTCCACCTCCTCCAGGAAGCCTTCTCTGATTTTTTCCTATTGGAGATTCACCGCTCAGGGCCTGCACAACATGTTTTGAGTCTCACCCAGCTTGTTTCATAAATGCTGGTATAGGATCCTCCTTCTCAACTGAGACTGCAGGTGAGCTGCGCCCTTGTCTGCATGTGTACCCCACAACACCCCGCACGCCTGGCAGCTCTTACCCAGAAAGATCATTCTCGATCACCATCTTCTGCAGCCCGGCTGAGATGCTGCTGCTGCCAGAGCCAGGCGTGGAGGCCAGGTCGTTGGTCCCTGTGAGCTGCCCACTGCCTGGGGTGCTTAGTGCTGTGTGGACGTCCCTCAGGATCCGAGGCAGGGGCCCCAGTTTGGATACAATGCTCTGCAAAGACACAGCAAGAGGCAGGTGTGACCTACTGGGGCTACCTGGGGAGGCCAGGTGCGCTGCAGCCACTGTGGTTCGAAACCGCCGAGAAGCCGGTCAGAAGTGCAGACCCTGCCCTCCCCCACCAGTCAGCTCCACCAGGTCTGGGAGGGGATGGAGAGCCCAGGAATCTGCCAATTACATTTTCGCCAACTCCCCAGATAGCTCTGGAAGAGAGCGTGACGCCCACAGGGAGAAACGCTGACCTAGTCCCAGCCTTTCACTCAGGATCGTCCTACCTTGGGGCCCCCTCAACAGGGGAAAGCCCATGTGGAACCCCAGAATTTTCCACACCTACACCTCCCCATCCAAGAGGCTTCTGGGATGGCCCCCTCCCACATCACCTACTCCACAGGGTGGGCTGGGGCCTGACCTACTTCAACACCTGAACCCCAGTGGAAACGGTCCAGCCCTGGTCCAGGCACCAGCACATGCCTGTCAGACAAGTAACAAATGGACAGTCAGGCAGAGGGTGGCACCCAGGCTCGTCCGAACACCATTGTCATGGTTTAGACTGATAGTGCTAAGAATCCCAGGCTGTGGGGCCGAGCAGAGGGAGGGGAGTCCGCCTGCACTTGCATATTCAGTGGCTTCTATGTAGGGCTTGGTACAAACAGCAAGTGTGAAAACTTGTGTAGTTAATACAGCAGAGGCTTGAGAAGCAAACAGCTCGATTTTAAATCTTTGCTGCACCACTGTGAGCTGTGATGGCCGCCGCCACCACCGTCTGTGCTTCCTGCCTGGTTGTGCAGATATGGAGGATGGTGGCCGGCACAGGGGCTCAGAAAGTGGGGGCAGTTAGAGTGACTGCTGGTGGCAGCAGTGGAGGAAGAAAGGGCCTTTGCCTTCATTTCCATTTCTCCCTCCTGTATCTCTCGCAGCCAAAGGGCTGTGGATATAATTGAGCAGCAACGACTGTAGCAGCATCTGTTTGTAGCAAAAAGCTGGACTAACCCGAGTGCCCAGCAACAGGGGGCCAGTGAAATAAACTGTGCAGTCACATGACAGGACAGTCTGCGGCCATCAGAAAGGTCAGAGGGGCAGTGTATACACATCGCCGTGGAAAGACGCCCACAACAGAGGGAGTGAGAAACGCACACCACAGCGCACACGTTAAGTTCTCACTTGAACACAAAGGGACAAGAACTCTGCGTTTGTGCTTGTGCACCTAGACACGCACAGCTGTATCTAGAAGGCTGCACACCAGAGCCCACTGAGTGGTCACCTCTAGGGAATGGGAGGCCTCCCAGCCCTGCTCCAGCAGTAACCACTTTCATAAGGTGGTCTCTGGGAGCCCTAGAAAGCAAAAGATATTTCAGAAGTGGATCCTGGCAGCCCTGGCCCTTGCTGCCAAGAACCTGCTCGCAGTGTGGGCTGTGGAACCCCAGGCCACGGAGGGCATGCTCCAAGTGGCTCAGCAGTGTCCCAGGTGTCTAGGGAATAATCTTTTCAACTGATGGTCAAGGGCAGTTCTGAAAAGGCTTGCAACTTCCTGCCTGACACATGGAGGTGCAGCGTCTTCTTTTTCATATCAGTTGCCTCAAAAGCCAGAGCAAGGATATTTTCAGAGAAGTGGCTAAGTCTGATCACATTTCTAACAGGTAGGGAGCACGGCCTTCACATGTGGAATCCATCTACTCAACGCCCGGTGTGTGGAGGCACAGCTGAAGCCCCTGGACCCAGAGCAGGCTCCCCCAGCAAGTGCTGGCAAGTGAACATGGCTCTCCCCACCAAGAAAACAGGGCCCAGAGGTCCCCGGTGCGAGCTGACAGGGCCTGGGTTGGAACCTCAGGCTCTGGCACCCAGGCAGGGCTGCTGATTCGTGTCACACAGGCAAACCCTTTGACCTCCATGGTTACCCTGGAAAGAGGAGCACCCACAAGCACTGTGGCGGCCTTTGGTCCACCCCCGGCCCCATCGCAGCCCCATGGGGACAGGCACCTGCTCCAGCTGGCTGACGGCCTCCCAGAGCAGTGAGTGCAGGCTGGAGAGCTCGCGGCCCAGGTCAATGTAGCCCTCGAAGCCGGCTGTGTTGGAGATGGTCTCGGGGTTGGAGATCTCCAGCAGAAAGCGCTGCATGTTGGTCCACTCGTGCTCCAGAAACTGGTTCATGAACGACATGTACTCCTCCTTGCTGCCAAACCTGGACAGGGAGCAGAGGGGGTGAGTGCCCCAGGCCTGAGGCAGGCCCCAGAAAACCAGCCCCCACCCTGGAGCCCCTCTTCTCTGAGACACCCCCACCTCCTCAGCTCCCATCCCTCCTCGCCCACTGTGGCCAGCTCCCATGCCACTCACTCCCCCAGCCAACCAATCTGCTCTGACTCAGGATCCTCTTCCCTCACGGCCAAATCCAGACACCCTTTTCCAGACCTTTGTTACAGGATCTGGAATGTTTTGTGGCCCTCACTCCCCGTTCACTGCCAGTTACGATCTCCTTCTACTCTCCCAGGTTTCCACGGCCTGGTGCACAGACGCTTCTCAGTCCACACTCAGCCGGGTCTCTGCTGAGCTTTTAGACACACACATCCACGGCACCTCCCCTCATACTCAGCCCGACCACGTCACACCGTCACCAAACCCACGCCCTCCTCCCACGTTCCCTATTCTCAGTGGAGACTCCACCACGCACCACAGAGCTGAGCCAGAAGCCTGGCTGCGGTCAAATCCTCCAATCCCCCCTCTCCCTCCCCCACAAGCAGCAAGGCCTGCTGACTTCGCCTCCTAATAGCCCCTTGACCTAGCAGCCACTGCTCCTGCACCACCACCTCCCACCTTCTACCACTTTTCTTTTGCCAGTCCTCCTCCCGGTCTCGCAGCTGCCGGTACTGCTGCCTCCACCCCACTTGCCCCACTGTTGTCAGGCTGACCTTTCCAGGACCCAGGACAGGTGAGGGCCATCCTCTCCCTTGCTTAGAGCCCTTTGGTGGCTCCCACTGCCCTGCCTGACCCTCAAGGCCCTGCTGAACTCCTGGGTCTCATCTCCTACCTCTCTGGGCCTGGCACTTGACAATTCAGGAATGCCACAGTGCCTCATCCCTCCAGCACACGGCCCTGCTCCTGCCACCCTTCTGTGAGCGGATGAACGCCTCATCCTGACACGCAGCCGGGAGAGCACATCTCCTAGGACGCCCGTCTCCCCTCCTGAGACCATGCCCGTCTCTATGACCGCTCTGCGGCTTATCCTACACCTCTCTCCCCTGCTGAAGTGCTGAGCTCGGGAGGGCTGGGACCAGGTGCGATGCCGAGCCCAGCTCAGAGAAGGATCCAAATCGCAGCTCCATCCACACTCTGTGAACGAGTGACAAGATGAACCAGCACTTCCGTTTCCACCTACTCACTTGAAGGTACAGCTGAAAACATGAAAGTGCTTCATGAGCACACACATCCTTGACAGCACTGAATAAGGACCATCTGAAACAGCCCCAGTGCCTAATCACAGAGGCGGGTTAGGAAAAGCCATTCTCCCTTGAAGGCCCAGTCCTGATTTATTTCAAATCAGACCTATGAATGTTAAGTACATGGGAGAATCCTTATGATAAAATGTTAATTCAAAAAAACAAGAGGAAAAAAGTATCTCATCTCCGAAAATCAAGGAAACACACCAAAATGGCTTGTACTTTTAGTAGGGGGAGGATGGTGTGTAGAGGAGATTTTATTTTGAAACAAGAGGGAGGGGAAGGACTGAGGGTGAGAGGGACAAAAGCAAGGCCTGTTGGCAGGCCTGCCCCCAGGGCTCCAGCCTGTCCTGACTCTGCTCGTCAGGGGATGCGGCACTCACTTGGCGAAGTTGGCCAGGTTCTGGGTGACCTTGGCGATGAGGGTGAGGGTGCGGGCAGTGCGGTCATCAGGATACTCCTGCAACAGGTTGAAGAGTGAGGGCGACATGATGGCCGGGCAGAGGAAGCGCAGAAACAGGGAGGCACTGATGAGCCGCTCGCTGATGTCTGGCCGGCCGCGGCTGCTGCACTCCTGCCGCCACGAGGCAAACACCTCTTTCAGCTCCCGAGGGAAGACACTGTGTAGTGACAGACCAGGGAGTGCCCGGCCATCAGACAGGGGCCAGGACCAGAGGGTGCAGAGCAGGGGCCTAGTTCTGAGTCCAATGGAACCTAAGTTCCAGCCCCACTCCACCCCAACAGCTGCGTGAGCTCGGCCTGCCGCCTGCACTCTCTGAGCCCGCTACTCCACCACCCACTATCCATCCACCATCCATTGGGCAGGGCGGCCGGGGAGCTGAGACCACGCAGGGAGGGCATGACGCAGGGAAGGCGAGTGAGAACTCAGCACGCAGAAGGAGCAGAGACACCCGAGCTCCAGTCAGGGTGGTGGGCTCTCCACGAAGGGGCAGAGTGGGATGGGACCCAAGCATAGAGGAGTCGGGTCTCGTGTCCCAACCAGAACCAACGGCAAGGGCCGGGCCCTTCCCGCCTCCCCCAGTGCTTCACCCTCCTCCCCAAACAGCAGGCATCCGGGTCTAGGGGAGAGTGAGGAGAACACAAGAGGAAGGGGCCACTGCGCCTTGGCTCCCATCACTGGCTTTGAGACTTACTTCCTTCACTCGAATAACGTTATAGAAATTAGAGGTTTCTAGCAGAGCTTGGAGTAACCAAGAAGATGAGAACAGCCTAACCACAGGGTGAGAACACCGCTCTCCACTTCCCAGACGGGGAGGGAAACGGAGGTGGTGACTTCCCCATGGGGACCCAGTGAGTGTGGGCAGGGTTCCTGGCACCCGGCTGGGGAGCTCTCTCTACTGGGCATCCCCAACCTGCCACAGTGAGGCCCCACCAGACCAACCTTTAAGTGGCTTTCCTATCTTTTCACCCTAAAAGATGTGCTTCCCACCCTGGGGCAGGCCAGGACCCAGTGCTCCCTGAACCCAGTCTGCGCTTGGCTCTGTCACTAGCTCAGGGTGCTTGGCCCAGTGCCTGGCCGTCCCTGGGCTTCATTTCCACACGCTTACACTGAGAGCAAGGTCTGCCCTGCTGAGCACACAGAGCCATCTTAAGGCTGAGACCCCAAGGCCATAGAGGCCTTGACCACCTTGAAAAGCTTCTGCCCAGCACACCCAGCAGCCAGCCCCACAGGCTCTCAGGCAGTGACTCTGGCTGACCCACAAGAGCACAGCTGGTTGGAAAGAAATAGAGAGCAGGCAACCTTTAGCCCTGGCCCTCGAAGTACCCGGCACAGGACTGGGCACGGGGCAGGCGATGAGTGATGATGTCTGTTGATGGTCTTGTCCAGAACAGAGAGGTGCCTCTGACAAACACCAGAAAGAGGAAATGGAAAATCACTGTCCACGGATATGTTTCCCTGTGTCCCACCCGGCCCGCCCTGGGAACAAGGGGGCAGAGGGTGAAAACACAGCCTAGCCCAAGGGTGGGAAGTGTGTTCCCAGAGAGTTCAAGGCCTCTGGCTGCCCCTCCACCCCCAGTGCCAAGGGCCGTGGGGCCAAGCTAGCCGCAGGTGAGCACCTGGTACAGCCCAGGGGCAGAGGGACCTGCGTAGGGAGACACCCACCCTGTTGGCTCTGGCCATTCCCTCTGCCCCCTTCCCAAGGCTGTCACTCACCAGGCCTGTCTCTGCCTGTCCTTTGGGAGCAGCAAACCATTCCCGGGCCCTTGTATGCGCCCAGCCCTGAGCTGGTGGATCCACCTGCCCCCAGGGTGCTCCCAGCATATGCAGGAAACGGATTCGGACACAGGCACAACTCCACTCCAATGAGATCAGGCTGTGACAGAGGGTGCCCAAGAGGGGTGAGCTGACCATATGTCTGGTGACATGAAAGAAGGCCACAGAAGGGAGCCACACATAAGGCCTTAAAGCAGGAAGGGAAACAGTGTGACCAAAGAAAGGAGTAAGGTATGGCTGGGGGGTCAGGACAGGGGTCTGGGTGGACGGGGGGAACGCAGGCCCCGAGCTGGAGCAGTGACCGAGGAGAGAATCTGGGTAGCTCCTCCGGTGTGAAAATAACCCCACTGCTTAGAGCTGGCAGCAAGCTCCCCCGGGACAGTCACGCATGCCACCCCATAACGTGGCTGTACCCTACACCAGGTCACCTGGCCACCAGACACACGTGCCCGCTCAGGAGCAAGCAGGGGCTTGGGCAGTCAATCTTGCAGAAGTAGCCCAGGGACTCACTCGGGCGCTGACGGCGGTCCTGTACGAGCAGCCTGCTCCACATACCCCTGCTCCTTTCTGCGGCTGGCAGCAGCCTGCAGACCTCTGTCCTATTTAAAGCCCAGTCCCTTCTTTGTTCTCTACAGTCCCAGCAGGAAGCCTGCCCGGTGTCTAGGCACCTACACAAGCCCCTCCTGGGCCCAATCACCCGCCTGTGACGTGAGCACCACGCTCCTGCGGACAGATAAGGAGTCTCAGATTAAACCATCCACACGCCCCGGGTGGGTGCCCGAGTGGGCCCTTATCAGTCTGCTCCCTGTGCAGCCCCAGCACCTAGGACAGCGCTCGGCACACAGAGGGCGCTCCCTGATGAACACGTGCAGTGGACTACCAGGTCCAAATCCTTACACGGGACAAACCGTGTCTTGCACAGATTCTGGGACACCCCCTTACATCTGAGAGCCCCCAAAGGACCAGGATGGGGGCCTGGCAGCCCAGCAAGATTCAGTGGCGTCAGGCAGAGGGTGGGCTCCAATCCAAGAGCCGCCACGCTGAAGCCGTGTGAGGCGGCAAGCATGCCGTTGCCCTCTCATTAGACTTTAGGTCTCTTGTTTATAATGGAACAGAGTCCCTCACCGAACCGCCTGAATGAGCATAAGCACACACCTGCCTAGCCCAGCCCGTGGCACACTGAGAACACCCTTGACAGAGAAGGATGAGTAAGACGCTGGGGTGGGAGGCCCTGCGCAGCTGAGCCCAGAAGGCAGTGTGGGAGGGAGGGGGGGTGGGTAGCACTGACCAGTAGGAGTTGATGATCTTGCAGAAGGCCAGCTCGCAGCACATCTTGAGGTTGCCCTGGTGCTCGGGGAGGTCAGCGGCCGAGCACTTGCTGGGGTCCACTTCGCAGTTCTCGTCTGACTCATACAGTGCTTTGATGAACTCACCTGTGGCCGGGAGGGCAGGGAGGGGGAAGTGAGGACCTGGTAGGCATGTCCCACTTTCTGCCCACATGCCGGCCTGCATCCTCCCTACCTAGTGCGTCCTGCAGGTACTTCTGGCCCACCAGCTTGAGGTACTCCTCGATGGCCTTGGTGGCTAGCGTGTTCTCCCGGAAGATGAGGTGCTCGTTGTCCCCACAGCGGTCCACCTCTGACATCATCAGGTCTGTCAGGAAGTCCTGGGGAGGCAGGAGGTGAGGAGAGTGGACCTGAGCAGGCCTGGCAGGTAGGACGCTAGGAATCCAGACCCTCTCCCTAGCCAGGAGAAGTCCCTGCTTTTCGAGGCTGCTCCCTCGCCAAGCTGCTGGTGTCCACCCTTGGTGCTGCCAGGGAGTGAGGGCAGGGCAGCCTGATGAAGAGAGATGCCTAGCACTCATGACATCAGAGCTGGGTCCAGGGATTGGGGAGGCAGGCCTGGGTGAGAGCACGCCACATGGAGCCACGAGCCCCCTGGATCACAGCCAGACCTGCTGGACTCAAACCCTTGTTCAGCCCTGACCAGGCCTGGCTGGGTGACCAGAGCAGAACTCCCCGTCCCATCACCACCAGTGCCAAAGAGGACAGATGGACCACCCTCTCTCCATGGCACAAGCAGCTGCCACTATCCACCCGTTACTCTGATGGGGTCTCCCACACCAGACACAGACTCGTTCTGTGCAGCCCCATAGGGAAGGTGAGAGAGAGGCAGAAGCTGTCCAGCTGCCCTGGAAGCAGTGAGCCAGCACTTAGATGGTGACAGCACGGATCTTGGCTTGGGCGGGAAGGTGGTGGCACCACTGCCCACCTGGAACACCTAGGGTGGCAGCCCTCACTGCTGTGGGTCCCAGACTTCTTCAGAGGGCAGCTGTTAAGCCGACGAGCCTATGAGTCCCACACACAGTGTCATGGGAAGACCCCGGAAGGAGTGTGAGCCCAAGCTCTCCCTCTTGACAGCAGGGAGGCTGTACCACGAACCTGCTGCACCCACCCAGGTAGGAACTCCCTCTCCCAGGAGCCCCCACCTCCTCATGCCCATAGCCAACCTGTGACTGGGAGGAGGGGAAGAGGACAGGTAGGGAGTCGGACCCAGGAGAGGGTGACAGGGCAAGGACCAGCCAGCACGGTGGCTTCCAGGTGGCCAGCATGGGCCAGGGTTGCCAGTCCTCTGGAAACTCCTTATTCCAATGTGCACAACCTTGGGGCCCTCCGGAATCACAAGTGGGGCTTGAAATACAGAAGTGAGCTCCAGGCCCAAGAGACCTGGCTGGCCAACGGAAGGACAGGAGTGGCTGAGGGGAAGCTGCCATTGGCCTCTCTGTGGACCACACAGCCTGAGGACCCCTACTGATGACCTCTAGGGTCCCCTTCTCTGAACACACAGAAGCAAAGGAAAGTACCGCACAGAGCCCTGTAGCCCCACTGGGTTCCTGCCCTCCTGTGTGGGTGCCAGGCCCAGGTTGGGATGAGGAGGAGCTCTCCTTTGAGCTAGAACCCAATGAGGGGGAACAGACACAGAACAGGGCCACACAGCTACCCGGGCTAGATCTGGCCCAAGCCTCTTGCTTCTCAGGCCCCATTCCACCTGCTGCACCGAGGGGAGAGGGGGATGGCAGGGAGAAGGCCCTTGGAGTCCAAGGACGGGAACTCTGAAAAGCCACAGCCCGGGAGAGAGGAGCCTGGGGGAGGGCAGCAGGGTGCTGCGACGCCCGTTCGCATGGCCCACTCCTCTCAGATGCTCTGCCTCCCTCACCAAGAACGGCCCATCAGTTCCCAAGTGTTGGGGATGGGGCTCAGACACGGCACCCCAGCAGCACGAGTTACCGTCTATCCTTCCGCCTACTGCTCCCCCACCCCTCTGAGGGCCCACTAGGGGAGCCTGGCTCCCACCTCCCTCCACAATGAGTACCTCGATTTGCCTCATCTCAGCTGTGACCCCAAGTGCAAAGGTCACTTTAGATTGGAGCTGGCTTCCCGGTCAGCCCAGCCCTCGGGGGCCAGGTATTGAAAGAACGGACACTGCAGCAGAAAAGGACACTGCTGGTGCCCTGCTGCCTCCCTGGCTCCCTCTCTGGGGGCCAGAGCCTCCTCGATTCACTCAGTTTCCCAGCACCCCCTCCCAATGCGGGCCAGGAAATTAAGGACAGTACAGACAGACATCCAACGTGCAGCCTCACCCAGTCAGATCTGAGGCTGAGGTGGGGGAGGAGGTGGTCCAACAGCATGGAGGACACCGCGTGCTGCCCCCGCCCCAGGGAGCCCACGCTGAGAAAGGTCCTCTCCCCAATCCTGCATTTGTGGCACACCACTAGTCCAGTAGGCAGCGGGGCTCTGGAGGGCCTGAGGGAGGCCAGGGCCTTCCGGGACCGGGTAAGTGGATAGGGCCCCGATGGAGCCATGTGCCCCAAAGCCCAGCCCCCAACCTGTGCCTCCCCCGGCCCCAGGCTAAGGGCTCAGGACCTTGACACAGGACACTCCCTCATCCGCATCACAGGCCACTCAGCTTTCAAACCACACTACGTCCAGAGGGCAGACGCCCAGCTCCCGAGGCCTTCTGCAATGTGGATGGACCCCACATCCAGTCTTCCTTCTCCACTGCACTCCCTTCAGGCGGTTGCCCCCCAGGAAGGGGCAGGGTGAACAGGGGGAGGTCCACCTCTGAGGCCCACAGAACCACGCTCCACTACGCTGGACAGGCAGGTGATGGGGAGCCTTCCTGAAAAAGCCCACTTGTCTCTAAAACCAGGTGGGTGGGAGCTGAGGCACGGCCTGGCTGGGCAGGGAGTGGAAGGTGAAGGAAGTGGGGAGGGCAGAGCTGGGCCCTTCCAGCCCTGAAGCAGGGCCTGCCTGGATGGCTGTAGACAACCCCTGTTTCTGTGGGCTCCGAGGCTGGGGACAGCTGTAGCCATGGCTGGCTGACCATCGAACGGCTGCAGTAGTGACCATGTGTACGGTGTGTGTGTGAACTTCTGTTTGGGTGTGAGTGAGGGGTGAGGCTAGGGCTGTGACAGTAGCTGTACCCTGGTGGTCACCTGTTGGGGATGGCAATCAAACTCAACACCCCACTGGACATGTGTCTGGGTCACTGGGACCCGTGTGCTGGGAAAGGCTGGCCACGTGACCTGCTTCCCTTGAGCCTCAGTGGCCAGCCCTCTGGGGCTGTGGGGGAAGCCCTTAAAACCCACTTCTTCACTAGAAGCCACGATCCCATCCATCACTCCAAATCTGCTTCAGTGACCAGCTCCAACAACAGGGGAGGGGCACAAAGCCCCACACTCCATGACGCAACTCTTGGGTTTAGGGAGCCCACCTGGCTGTGACCAGTGCCTTCATTAGAGCTGAAATCCATCACGTGGACATGGGGAACAGCAGATGACCTAGTGCACATCACCAGGCCTTTCCACGGGGCCACGCGATGTGGGGGACCCTGCCCATCGCCTGCACACGCACCTTCACTTTGCCCGTGCTCTGCAGGATGTGCACCAGGGCCGACGCCATCTCCTCCTTGGTCTTGGCACTGAGGATGGGCTCGAGGGCTGCGCAGAGCCCCAGGTAGTGGTTGGTGATGTGCTCGGCAAACTCCTTGTACATCTCCATGGGCAGGATGGTGACGGTCTGGTAGCGCGCCTTGATGCGGATCATGGGCCCTGGGCCCTTGCCGCCCTTGGGGTTGGGCGTCACCACTGGGTACCACTTCTCCACGAATTGCCGCCCGGCCACCGAGGCAGCAGGCAGGCTCACCAGGCCCAGGTAACTGTTGCGTTCCTTCTTCTTCTTCTTGTCGGTCTCCCGGTACAGGTGGACGGTGACGGTGCGCAGAGGAGGCAGGTTGTGGAACTCGAAGTGCTCGCCCCAGAAGACGTTGTCCGTCTTGAGCTTGCCCGTGGTGCGGGCGTAGAGCACATCGTCCAGGCACAGCTCGCACAGGTACTTCTTCTTGGCCGGCAGGTCCTTGGCCTCAATCACCCACAGCTTCAGGATGTGCTCCACACGCCGGCTGTTGTCCTGCACGTGCACAGGGGTCTGTGGTCACCGGGGGGCGCCCACCTGCTCACTGCCCAGCCCAGAGCTGGGGAGAGCTCTCAGATCCAGGAGGGGCTCGGAAGGCGGTGGGGAGGCCCGGGCCCTGAGACAGGAGCGGGGTGGGCCAGGGACAGCTCTGGAGGGGCTGATCTCTGCTCAGTCTCAGAGCAGCTCACTGACCGTGGGCAAGTGACTTAGTCTAAGCCTCAGTTCCCTCTTCTCTAAAACAGAGGAGAGATCAAGCAAGAGGTTAGCACAATGCTTGGCACATGGCAGGCTACTGTGCCATTTATTAGCGCTTCTGAAGTTTGCTGGTTTGTAAAGTCACTCAAGAGGTGACCACTGCTAAGGCCCCTTCCTTAGTGAAGTCATGGTGACCAGGACTCAGTTCAGGCCCTCGAGTCAGCCAGGGAGGTGATTACAGTTGGGGTCCCGTGAACATGATACGGGAAGCCCGGGAACATAGAGGAGGGCACCAGCCTAGGCCAGCGGTGCTCACCTGGAGGACGGGACAGATGTCTAAGCTAGAATCAGACGGAGGAGCAGAAATTAGCCAGGGAGGAAGGGGAACAAGAGTTCCAGGTAGAAGGACACCAGCACCCCACTCCCCAGCAGCCTGATACTTGGCTCTCTGGCCCAGCCTCCTGTGTGTAGCTTTGAGGACAGGGCCCCACAGCACCTGAGTCAGCTTGGCCAACTCCAACTCCTCCTTCAGAGCCCAATACTACTGCCCACTCTGGCCCTGCTTCCATGCAGGCTGCCCCCACTCCCCAATCCCGCTCGCACCAGAGATCCCTCCCTCTGCTCCCTCGTGTTGGGGTCTGCACTCTGCTCTGGGTCTAACCTCGATCCCCCATGCTTTGGAGAGAGGACACGCAGGTCTACCTTGTTGGGGTGCACCGCTCGCCGCAGGTTCTCCATCCATTTATCCCGCTCGGCTGCTGACCGGCAAGAGAAGCACTTGCTTCCTGACGACGTCGTCACCTGTGGCGGACAGACAGGACAGTGTCACACGGGAGGGAACCCAGCAAGGCTGGGCATGATGGAAGACCCTTGGGGCTTGGGGGGCTTCAGCAACTAGGTCTGCACCACAGGCTCAGGGAGGAGGCAGAACGAGGCTCACAACAACCCCTATGTCTCATGTTTGAGGTAGTGCACTGAGACCCGCCATCCAAGAGCACATCAGAGACAGGAGGGTAGCCCCGCCCTGCCCATCTGGCACCTGGCCCTGGCTCCTCACCCTTGCCTTGGCGCCCTCTGTCCATAGGAAAGCACCTTTCTGATGCCAACCTCCCTCTCCCGGAGATGGGAAGAGAGAAGACATGCCCAGGTCAGAGGGTGATGCTTCACCTGAGCCGCCCTCCACAGGTGCAGCCACAGGCGCCGAGGAGACAACCTCGGGGAGTCTCAAGGATCACCTCAGTCCTCAGCTGACATCTGACAGTTCTTTTGCCAAGCGACAGTGACAATAAAGATGGTCAAAGAAACTTAACATGTGGGGGTCAGCCTGGAGAATGAGAATTGGGCTGTCTGGGTGTGCCAGGCCCTGGGGTCCTCCTGCCTGGAACCCTCACCCTCCCCTCACTGACTAACTCCTGCTCAGCCTCTGGTCTCCTCCAGGCGAGGGAGTCCGGCCCAAGCTGCTCCTGCTCTGTTCCTCCTGCCCCGGCACCATGCCGAGGGCCCTAGAGAGGGAACCCAGACTCCTTACCCAGCCACTCAGGGGCCTGCACAAGCCACAGCACCCCCAGCTGAGGACAGGTGGACAGACACCGTCTTCGGCCCGTCCCAGGTGAAGACGCCGGAGCCCAGATGGAGCCCGGCTGGAGCAGGAGTCTTGAAGCAGAAACAGCACCCAGTGGGCACAGGGTGTGGGGCAGATGCCAGGCACCACTCCACTCTTTCTCTGGGGTTGGGGGTGCCAGGAGGTTGCCACACTGGTCCCCGAGTCGCTGATTTTCATTACTAGGCTCATTATTCTATCAGAGAGCTCCCCTAATTACGCAAGATTGTTGGTGGGAGCAGAGGGTGGGAAGCTTCCCAGAAAGAGAGGTGGGAGGAGAATATGAATACTTAGAGAAGCAATTGGGAACTCCCAGGAACGCCTGCGACATTAGTTGCCCTGGTCCTGGTTTAGCCTCAGCCTTGTTGTGTGACCTCTGACACCTTCTTGCCTTCTCTGGGCCTCAGATTCCCCATTTACAGTGAGGGACTGGACAGGTGATTCCCAGGTACAGCCCTGCTGGGTTGGGTGGCCGGCCCTCTGCTCTCAAACCTTGGGTCACAGAATGCTAGGGCAGCAAAGGTTCTGGCTCATTATCAGAGAGGGAGACAGGCCCAGAAAAGGGGGCACTCTCTACTAGCCCACCCTGCATTTGAGGGGTTTCTAAGGGGGGGGGGGCAGGCTCGAGACACGGGCCCTGGGGCTTACGCAGGTCTACACAGGCTTTACTCCCTTCCATCCATGAGGCCTCCTGCCCTTGGCCAGCATGGAGGACAGTGTTGGTTCATTCCCAAGGAGCCCACAGAGCAGGAACGAAGCCCCCATCTCCCAGCTCCACCTGGTGTCCAAGGAGACAAAAGCTATGAGCAGATTCTGTCACTGTCCCAAAGAGCCTGTCCCCTGCCAAGGCCACAGAGCCCCCGAGGAGGGTGTCTGGAAGAGACCTGGCCTCGCCAGAAGAGCATACCAGCACCCCACCCCACCCCTGCCGCAGGACCCACCTCGAAGCAGTAGTCCTGGCCCAGGATGCTGCTGTGCACAGGCTTGATGACCACCTCCTCCTCCATGCTGAGGTCCAGCGCCTCCACTGCGCTGCTGGGGCTGAGCAGGGACTCGTGGGAGCGAGACTCCTTCAGCCTCGGCATCAGATGGGACCTGGGGGGTGGGCGTAGGTGTGTTGGACTGGTCCTGCCACTCCCCTCTCCTCTGCCCTGTCCCCTCCCTTCCCCTCTCCTCCAGGAAGCCTGCCCAGCCCCCCCAGCTGGAGCACTCAATCCTCCTCTCAACTCCCACTGTCCTTTCTGTCTTAAGGCAGACCTGGGGGGAGGGGGCATTGCGGTGCTGGAATCACAGAGACCCGCCAGTCCCTTTTCCACACTGTAGGACTTTGGGTAGGTGGCTCAGCCTCTAATGAAGCAAATGGCTGAGGATGGGGCCACCTCTCAGGAGTTGAAAGCCAGCACTGAGTGCGGGATAGGGTCCGGCCTGGCTCCTAAGCAGCCTTCCCACAGCAAAGAGCTGACCTGACCCAGGCAGCCTTCCCCACCTCCCCCACCTCTGCCCTGGTCCCCATCCACGACTGAAGCAGTCACCCATTTATCCAGAATGTCATTGCCACAGGGCCCTTTCTCATACACCATCCCACTCCTCCCACCAGCCCCGCTCAAGGCAGGAGAGCCACGGGACCTCTGCTGCTCCCACCTTACAGATGAGGACCGTGAGGCTCAAAGTGGAAGGGACGCAGCAGCCTCTGCACAGTACCCGAGACACTGAGACTCAGACAGGGTCCACGTGCCAGGGCTCTGGGGCCCAGGCCAGGGTCAGTGAGCCCAACACAGGCACAAAGATCAGAGGTAGCTGATGCCACCTGGTGCCCAAATGGAGCCGGGACCTGACTGGCTCTGACAGACCTGGCCTTGGACCTGGGCCCACTGCTCACCTGCTGTGTTGCCCTGGGCAAGTCACTTGCCTCTCTGAGCCTCGGTTTCCTCAGCACATCACATGGAAAGCACTTCAGACAGCACCTGCACCAGTACTCAGTCGAGTCCACCTCGGAGAGGTGAATGTTCCTTTCCAGAGCCACGAGCACACAGTAGTGGCCTGCAGAGCCCCCTCCACAGCTGGGGCACAGGAAAAGCCTGAGGAGCAGCCAGGTCTGCTAAGACCACTCCTGGCATGGAGGCTGGGCAGGCCTCACCCCTACTCATGTCCACAGCCCAAACCCCCAGAGCTGGCATGAAACCCACCCTGGGCATAGTCCACCCAAACCCTCTTCCCTCAATCCCTCTGCCCCTCAGCTCCCGGCCTCCAATGGTCCAAGGCTCAGTCCATCATTCTCTCCCTGCCTCACCAAACACCCTCCTGCAGGTGAGGCCTGGCAGGTCACCACACACTTCCGTCCTGCAGGGCCCACACCCTGTAATCCCCGCTTCCATGACCACCTGGGCTAAGGGGGGGCTGAGGCCCACTATGTGTTGGCTCAGGAATCCAGAGATGAGCCGGACGGGCCCTGCCCAGGTGGCCTCACAAACTGACAGACGCCACCCTCCAACCACCACTTCTCCACGGCAACAGCTCTCCCTGACATGGAGTACTGTGCAGGCACTGCGTGGGAGTAAGCACTGGAACAGGGACCCCAGCCCTTGGGGACCCCACAGCCCAACCCAAGAGATCCAGTCAGCCTCCCCCTATCTGCTCCCCCATGCCCAGCACGAAGCTGGCACACAGTAGGGCTCAGAAGACTTGAGCTGAATTAACGCCCTCAGGAGAGACTTCTGAAAGCTGGACAGAAATGGATGGAGCAGAGGGAAGCCGTGAGACAGGCTGAAGTCAGGTTAGAGCCAACCCAAGCCTCCTGGGGCTCATGCACGGAATTTCTCAGGGAGGCCCAGGCCCACCGGCCTGCACACCTGTGGTGCCCCTGCTCCTCCGGTGCCCTCTCTCTAGGAGGCAGCATTTGACAAACATGCACTGTGGCCTGTCATGCCACTCAGTTCTAGCTGCTAACAGGCTTCTTCCCTTGATGAGCCCTCCGGGCCCTGCTGGATGGCCCAGCCTCCTCCCCAATCACTGACCAATGCAGTGGGTGGGTCTGCCGTCCACTCAGTTGGATTCCACCCTGGGCCGCCCACCTCAAGGGGCAGACTCCAGGCCTCCCTCCCAGGATGGGGCATCATACCTCAGAGCAAGAGACGCCCTGTGTCAGATGCTGGGGAAGTCACCCGGCCTACCAAGGGCTGGGACCCACAGCCCCCTAGGCCTGTCACCTGCAGGTCGGCATCAGGCTGCTTGCTGGTCCAGCCTGGAAACCTCTGCCAGGTAAGGATGCTGGGCACCAGGGAAGGCGGAGTAGGAACCCAGGAAGAGCAAAGGGAGGAGCTGGTACGCTGGGGCCACCTCCTGCCTGGGGAGCCTGAATGAGCTGAGGAAAGGGAAGCACGGTTCACAGACTGGTCCTGCCCAGGGAGACCCATGGGGTCCCCGGTTCTACCGCCCAGGAGCCCGGCAGGCCCAAGCCAGACCCCAAAGCAGCCAGAGCCTCCTCTTCCTTCCCTACCATCCTGCCCCACAGATGCCCCAGCTGGCCCAGGCCTCACTGATGGTTCCTGGCTGAAGAGAGGGCTGTGGGGAAGCTGGGCAGCCCTGACCCTCTCCAGCTCCCCAGGCCTTCTCCAAGTGGGGACGTGGACCAGAGGCTGCACCCACCTCTGCAGCCCAAGCTCACGAGGAGGCAGGATGGGGGTGGGGCAGGGCCCAGGGAGGCCTAGTGGCTACTCCAAGGTCGGTCGGCAGGCTGCTCCTGCACAGGAGAGGGCCAGGTCTGACCGCTGCCCTGTGGGGCCAACGCGAATGGGCCTGTGCTCTCTGAATCATCTGCAGACGCACATCCCTCCCGCTCAGCCTGGAGTCTACCTGCCACCCCTCCTCCTCAAAGGCTGATGGAGGGAGAGCAAGGGGCACCTATTCATCCGGCCCTGACACACAGCTCTGGGCCCAGAGAGAGCTAGTCTGCTGTGACCCTGCCAGGGGGGACCTCCTGGCAGAAGTAAGTGTGCCCGTGGTGGTGGCTGATAAGATGACTAGAGCTCAGGAAGTGAAATGGTCACTTAGTCCGTTTTATACCCAAGCAGAACCACCTCACGGCCTATGAACCACCTCCTCCAGGAAGCCAGCGCTGTCCCAGGCCTGCAGCACCCCCAAACACTTTGCACCAGGGACTCCTTGCTCCGTCAATCACCCGAGGCCGGCCCTGACCCCGCTCTGCCTTTGCCTCACGACTGCATTGTTGGGCCACTTCCTTCCTCACCTCCAGCCTCTGCCTTCCCAGGCCTGCAAGAAGCCAAGGAAGGAGGGAGGGAGAAGGGCACTGCAGACTGCGCGGGGTTCCAGCGGGCAGTGAGTGGGCATGGTGCCCCTGCCCAGAAAGCTCGGTAAAAGGAGGTGAGCAGGCGCTAGCCTCTGCCTCTCTCCCACTCCACTCGTAGGAGAGGGGCGCTCCTAGGCACCCACCTCCACTCGGCTCAGGACACCCCGCTGGTCACTTTCACATCTTTTTTTTTCATGTCAATTGCACACAAATCTGCCAGGAGTATTCATCTACCCACTTTACAGAAAGGTAAGAGGAGCTCAGGGAGAAGCAGTCAAGTGATCTGTCCACGGCCCCCTGCTGTAGTGGGAACTCAGGTTGGTCTGGGGGCCCTGCCCATGGCTGCCCTGTGTGGTGTGGACGTCTGGGGCCTGACACCACTGTACACAGGGCCTCTGCATCCCTGAATCTCTGGTCCCTCCCTGCCACCCCAAGGCTGGGGTAGAAGAGAAGGTGGCCCAACAATCCCACTGCACGGCCTCCCTGAGTGCCCAGCTCAGTCTCGTGATGGCTTCCCCTGATGACCTCCTATGGTCCCTGGAGACCAGAGGCTCGGTCTCCTCGGTTAGGTGGCACCAAGGAGGGCAAAAGGCCTTTGCACAGGGGCCTCCGCCCGCCCATGCAGATCACTCCCCACCCAGGTCTGAACTACTTCTCACAACAACCCTGCCAGGGACGCCACGTGATGTCCACTCTCTACCTCCCCTCACACCACACCCTGGCAAGTGACCTAGACTCTCCTCCCCAGCTGGTCACTGACCAGCCATGAACCCCCTCCCTCTGGGGGGCCTTTCCCATGCTGTTTCCTGAACCCGTACCACCTTTCCCTCCACTTCTCCACCTAACAGAATCCTTCTTTCTCAGTTTTCAAAGCCCAGCCCAAATGCCACCATGCTGTCCCTGGTCTCTCCAGACAGACCAGAGTGCACACCTGGGCTGTGAGGCTGAGCCCCACTCCACGCCACTTTCCCCGTCTCCTCACCTAACGCTCCCGACAATCTGTCAGCACTGAAGTACCGCACTGCAAAAGCCAGGTCGCTTGCCCAAGATCGCACGGCTGGTGAGCGGCCGAGTGGGATCCGAACCCCGGTCAGCAGAGTCCAGGACGAACTCCATCAGCACAAGGCTCGCCTTTCCGTCTCCCCGCAGGCAGCCGGGCAGGGAAAGGCCCACAGCCAGCTGACCTGCTCGCTGTGACCCACTCAGTCCAGCGTCACGGGGTGGGGTGGGGCAGCCTTTGCCCAGGGCCCAGGAGCCCAGGAAACGTGGGCACGGCACAGGCACGGGCGGAGCCGCTGTTGGAGATACAGCCAGGCCCCAACAGCAGCTCATTGTGAGGGCCGGAATGGGAACAACGGGACATTGTCCCGGCTCCTGGGCCACGGTCTTATCTGATAGCCTTCCAGCCAACCCATGAGCTATTTTTCAACTCCATCCTTTTTTCTCTTACAAGGTTAGTGACACAGAAGTTTAGCAAATTCCCCATTATTTCAAGGAGGGAGGAGACCCAAAAATAAAACTCGTGATAACTAAAAAGCCCTGTCTGACGTAGGGAGGATGTTCCCAGCTACGGGTGAGGGGAGTTGAGAGTGGGTTGTACAGCCTGGAAAGGAAGAGGCTCCGAATCTCCCTCCAAATCTGAAAGGGGCTGAGGGAGCTGCCCTGCAGGCCCCCAGAAGGCAGAGCTGAAAACAGGAGAGGTCAATTCCAGCTCAGTCACAGCTGTCCCCACATGCACCAGGCGGGTTTGGTTTTAAAGGGAGCAGGCACCCTGTCTCTGGAAGCACAA